ATTCCAGGCTTTCAGAATCCGTGCGTACTTCTGTCGTTTACGCATACTTTAAAGAATACAGCCGCTGTATATTTCAACCACGGGTTCACCGTAGTAATAATCTATATCAATACCGCGGCCGGTCGCTCAAGTTCATGGCCAAAGTGACACGGGATATATTGCGCGGAATAAAAAGCAAGCCATGTAGACATAAAGAGAGTATCGCAAAGAGCATAAAGCCGTGCGTACTTTTGGGAAAAGTCAACTATAACTAGGTAAAATTCGGGTTTATGTGCTAAAAATGATAGTAAATTGCGCGATTTGGGCTTTAAACGCAACAGGGTGCCGATACCGAATATTTTGGTGATCAAATGTCACAGCATATTTTCCCATGCCCATAACTAGGTAAACGAGTCAATCGAGTTCAAGTTCAATGACAGACTGTATAGTTCTCTCTATGCAAAGAAGCATTATTCTTGCCCTACAGTGACGTAAGAAATGGGAGGCTGTATGGGTGCACAAGTACCCCAATAACAAAAGTGCGGGCCAGCACCCAAATATTACAACAATTGAGCACGAACACTTTTTTATTATGCACCTGATCAGTGATGCTCGACCAAAAATGTAATTCTTAGCCTCAGGATTGGGGGAAAACTACAGTATAAAATTATAGTCATTGTGTCACTGTTTATGAAATTTCATTTGAACTGCTCCCAGAATGCAGGAAATAGCGTTTCTAAGCCTTAGAAAATCAAAAATTTTCTGGGGGGAGCATGCTCCCCCCAGACCCCCCAGAAGTGTTTCGGTCAATCAAAAATCCTATAGTTACGCGCCTACAGTTCCTGTAACATCCGCATCCGCCGAGCGCAGCTTTTCAAAACTGAATTCAGTGAAAACTGTTATGCGTTCAGTAATGAGCCAGGAACGCCTCGGTGAACTATTGACTCTTTGCGTGTGAGCGCGATCTAACAGACACGATCGATCTTGACGAAATCGCTAATCCGTGGTCAAACCTGACTAAGCGTGGGCACTTAATAAAAATATAACGTTTCACAGCAAACTGTACGTGTTCTTGCAAAATTCCTAATAAATGCCATCAATTTCCATGCTTTGTACTCAATTTAATTGCAACACACCAACTCACCAAGAGTCGGTCTGGATTCACATTTCAGTGGTGAGTCGGTCTCATTTCGTGATTACACCCTCCCAGTCAAAATCGATATGTCCGCCCCTGACTGCTCGTCGCAAGCACATATTTGTGCGCACGAAATACGCGACTTGATTCCCCACACGTGAACGATACATCGCTCATCAATTCGTTATCAAACATATACGCGTTTCTTTGTAAGACTGTTTTCTTACTTGATTGCCAATCGTCGTGATATCGTGAAGCCATGATCAGGGATTGATGAAGCTAATTGAAGGTTTAAATACAGAGCTTTAAAACAGAGGTTTGAAGCGAGACGACGTGTCTTTGCATGTAAAATGCTGACAACATGAATTGATTTATAGCAAACGTTCAAAGTGAAAATAAAACGGGGTCACTTGACCTCGTTTAAGGGTCGGCAAATTCCGTGAGCTATGAAATTCCTTCCCTAAAAATGTAATTCATGCAGTTGTGTTGCAGCAGCTTTTTGCTCGCTGATGACATTTTACAAATATATATAACTTTGCAAATGAAGATATAGCAACAATGGCCGTTTGTATACTAGAAACGCATCATGCGTTTGGACGCATAATCCGTCTTCTATATTATTCATCTAGTATAGAGGCCCACCAAGTGGTTATGACCGACTGTTATTACAAAAAATGATTAATACTTCTCTGCAAAGTGGTCACTTTCCTGATGACAGGAAAGAAGCTTTACTTTCTCCATTGCTGAAAAAAAGTAGGAGCTGACTTTACTTTTCAAAATCTAAGACCAGTGAGTAATCTACCATTCATCTCAAAACTCACGGAGAAGGCTGCTTCTAATCAAACTCATTGTCACATGACTGTTAATAATTTGTTTCCTCCTCTGCAGTCAGCATATAGAAAGAATCACAGCACCGAGACCGCGCTACTCAAAATCACTAATGAAATTTTGCTTAATATGAACAAGCAACACGTAACGCTTCTGGTGGTACTGGATCTTAGTGCCGCTTTTGATACCACAGATCAGGACATTTTGCTTGATCGTATGTCAACTAAACTTGGTATCGAAGGTGTTGTTTTGAAGTGGTTCGGTTCTTACCTGAAAGGTAGATCACAACGAGATGCTGTGCATGGAGCAGTTTCTGAGAAGTTCGATCTAAGTTGGGGGGTTCCACAGGCTCATGTCTTGGACCCCTCCTTTTTATCATTTATGCTAGTGAACTTTATGTCATCAAAAATCATCTTCCAAATGTTCACTGTTTTGCTGATGATAGTGAGTTGTATCTCTCCTTCAATCCTAGTAAGGAGCATGGAGATGTGCAAGCTGCCAAGAGCATGGAATTATGTGTGAACGATATTAAGAACCGGATGTCCAAGGATAAACTTTTAATGAATGATGACAAGACGGAGTTTCTTATAATAGGGTTAGAATTAGAGAAAGTGAATCTCAATTGTATATCGATCGGCACTGTTGACATCCTATTAAGAACTTGGCCGTGTGGTTGGATAGGAATCTATCTATGGATGCTCATATTACACGAACATGCTCAACTGCCTTCTATTATTTGTATACTGCTATTGACTTTTAGAGCTATTCATAGTAGCTCTCCACAGTACATTGATCTTATCACCGTCAAACAACCAGGGCTGCAAAATTACCACTAAAAAGGAATTAATTCCAATTACAATTACTTGCTTTAAAATGTAATAAATTCCTGATTACAATTACATGTTCTAAAATGTAATTACTGTCGTTCCAATTGAAGTGTTGCTCAAATATTGATTCAATACATTACCTCAGGCTGACCAATTCATTTCATCAAGTTCCTCGAGATATTCATACACTTCCTGTGAAAGAGCCAATTCCAAGTATTTGATCATTTCTGGTCACTTCCTTTCTATTTATGATTGGTTAGTTGCACAAACAAAAAAGGTGATTAGTGCATTCAAACTATTCAACAGGAAGTTTACAATTATACTAGGAAGTGTATGAATATCTCGAGGAACTTGATGAAATGAATTGGTCAGCCCGAGGTAATGTATTGAATCAATATTTGAGCAACACTTCAATTGGAACGACACAGAGAACGACAGTAAGTACAATGAAAAAGTTACTCCCGAACAAAGGAATTAATTACAAATTCCTTTACCGGCAAATTGTTGTATATATATTATAAGGCAATATCTTAAATAGTAGTTGTAAATAAAAACGGTATAAACTTTGAAATTTTAATAAAACACTTAGCATGCAAATCGAAGCATGCATGTAAACTTAAGACTTTATTTGCCAATATTTGGCGCTCCGGACCTCGGAACTGAAATCTAAGGTATTTACAATACAATGTTTAGCATGTTTAAAAAGACGATGAATCATTTGAAGATAAAAGACATGACATCAGATTCACAGAGCAAATTTCATTTACTAAAATACCAAACCTCACCTTAGACTTTCACAAAGGCCTTCGTCTTTGTTTAGAACGAAGGAATTTTCAAGGAAGTAATTTCTTGGAGAGTAAGGAATTCCCAGAAGTCAATGCATGAAAGACCAAGTTAGTAATTTGGCCCTCTAAATTTAATTTTTCTTCCAATGTTTTGCTTATATTTTAGAAAAAAGGGACTTTTGACTGGGGGTGAGGGAATATTGACTCAAGGGGGGGGAGGGCGGGGGGGGGGGCATTATGTAAAAAAAAAAGGTGCCTTTATGAATTGGCTGATTTGCACATCAAGCCAGTATTAATATTAATACTATACAAATAAAATTATTTTATTAACGTAAATATGACAAATGATAGTCATTTTTGAATATATAAGGCATTATCTGCAGATAGCTTGTTTTGAAGATGGAATTCTTGAAAGCAAATTTTTAAAGAAATGTTTAGAGCTGACCAGGAGCAGTTGCTGGTTACGTCAAAAAATGGATATAAATTTGCATTAAAAAATTTCATCTCCATAAAAGCCATCTATATGATGGTAGTATATATAGTTCTATCATGTATAATAAAATACATGGATAGGAAATTATAAAATAACATGTATATAACGCGTATTCTGATTGGTCGAAAGCCGTGTTTGGATCAGGCCATCCAAACACGGAAGACTACCGTGTTGTTGTTATTTTATAAAACAATTACTTTATGGTTTCCGTGTTTGGATGGACTGATCAAAACACTTGGGAATGTTGCTCGAGTTAAGAAAAGCGGGCAAAATCACTCGCCTTCGGCTCGTGTTTCGCTCGCTTTTCTTAACTCTCGCAACATTCCCGCGTGTTTGGATCAGGCCATCCAAACACGGAAACCATAAAGTAATTGTATACTAGCTGACGTGACCTAATGTTTTCAATGGGACGATGGCGTTGAAACCTAGTTGCAAACCAAATTCTCAAAAACGGCAAATTCTCAAAGAGCAAATAAATATAACTAGGCCATTCTACGATGAAATCTCTAAGTATTCCCGGTCAATTTTGGCAAATATTTCAAGCAATAAACAGTGAAAAATGCATCGCAAATTTCGTAAAAATTGGCGACGCCAATTTCGTAGCTACAAATGTTAAAAAATACAAAACAAAGACGAAAACGTTTACCTTGAATACTTTGTCGTGGCTTAGGCATGTTTTTAAAACAATTAGACCAGTTTATGCTTCAATATTACTCTTTTAAAGCGGAAAATATAGCGAAACAACAAAAATGCTGAGAACTTTGGCAATACACGTGACGTCACAGATTGCAACTATCCAGTTATTTTACAATCCATGGTTCTATCGAACGAGATGTCCAAAAATTTCAATATTATGGCATTATAAATGGCTACATTAGTATTATCGTATGATGTATTTAATAATACTAGCCATGCATGTAAATTAATTTATATCATTAAGTCACAGAATATTTTCAAAACTTCAGCTCAGCAAGAAAAATCTTGTAGAACTGACCATGAGATCTGTCCGTACCATTGGTACTCAAGCCAGAAGGCGCGTTTTTAAAAGTTACAACAATGTCATCGATCGTCACTGATGATTTTCCACGAGTACCGCTGTAAGAACGTGGTCCTATTATTGTTGCAATTATTGTGATCTCCTCATTTGGTAGTAGAGGGATTGGGTTGGGTAACATGACGTCATAACCCGGCACGCAGTCACTGTTCCGTTCTGAAGTGTAGGACTGTGTTACATTCGTATCCTTAATCGTAAATTTGACTTTGTATCGGCCGCCATCGGAACCAAATAAGCGAACACCGTGAAAGAGGACAACTTTATTGACAACCAGAGTAAGAGCATCGGATTCTCCGTGGTAAGCCCACATCTCGGTCCATCTGCTCGGAATGGTCCCGCTATAAACATTGTGAGGGTCAAATCTGCTGAAACTGACAACACGTGGTTGCCACATTTTATGTTCCTTCCATTTCAAGCCTGCCACATCTAATCCGCAAAGCTTTTGCAAAATGGACACAATTTCTGTGTCTGTAAGTATCCCAGTGCGGGAGACATATTTCACAAAGTTTTCCAGAGGCATTGCAAGGAAACGAATTTCATAAACACTATCTCCTAGGATGCGTCTTCTTGCCGTTTTATCATGTTCGATATTTAAACCCTGCCTTGCACATTCCTTATCGGTCCATTTCAATATTGCTTTGAACAATCTAAGTTCTGCTATTAAGAGCGTCTTTCTCTTTAAAAAAGCATTGAGCGTAAATGATGCGATACTACAGAACGCTTCCGAGTTGACGCATTCCTGAGTTTTCAGCAAAACAATATCCCAGCACTTTGCTTCTAACTGTTTTTCATCAAATTGCACCGCTTGCTCCAACACCGCGAAGGCATTATCAGGCTTGATGCTTGCCTCTAGAATCTCGCAACACTTCTCCACCAAAGACGAAACGAGATACTTCTTAGCCAAATACATAACACCTATCGCGTTCTCGGCGGTTATTTGACAAGCGTCAGTGTACAGAAATCGCAGAAACTCTTCGAAGCTTTCTTCTTCCGCGTCTGGGATACAAATGGGAAATTCTTTCTCGGCTAAATTCCCGTAAAACATGGCAAAGAACACAGCACTGCTCGTAGCAAGCACGTATTTGTGTGCATGAAATATGCGACTTGATTCCCCACAAGTGAAAGATACATCGCTCATCAATTCGTTATCAAACATATACGCGTTTCTTTGTAAGACTGTTTTCTTACTTGATTGCCAATCGTCGTGATATTGGGAAGCCATGATCATGAAGTGATATATGAAGCTGATTGAAGGTTTAAATACAGAGCTGTAAAACAGAGGTTTGCAGCAACACGACGTATCTTTGCATGTAAAATGCGGAAGTAAACATCGGACACACATGAATTGATTTATAAAGCCTAGTTTCCATTTGGTCGTTTGTAGTTGTCGCTGGCACGACAAGTGGCTGATGTAATAGAGTGTGAACAAAACTTTATAAAACTCTGCAATCATTAAGACTGATTTGCATATCAAACAAAAAGACTATTATTATATTAGACTATTTCACATCTACCGCTTGTCGTGCCAGCGACAACTAACGACCAAATGAAAACTATAGGCTTAACAAACGTTCAAAGTGAAAATGAAACGGGGTCAATTGACCTCGTCGGCAAATTCCGTGAGCTATGAAATTCCTTCCCTAAAAATTTAATTCACTCAATTGTGTTTAATAATGCAGCTATTTGCTCGTTGACGATCAGGGCATTTTTTAAGAATTCGTCAGTTGGGGGGGGGGGGATCTACAAAAAGGGACCATACTATACC